TTTTTATATCTGCACGACAAATTTCATAGCATAAGGACTCGAATCAAGAATAATTATGCTATAAGCGCCCCACAGTTTTATGCAAGAGGCATCATATTTTTAAAACTATATATGAAAAGAGCCAAGCGATTAATTACGTGTTTGTGAAGCGGCAGCAGATGAAAAAGTGATGAGGATCTATAAGTAAGATCGGGAGATCTTTATTTCAATTTTAAATCATGATTGAGCAAGAGCTTATGCGTTGCGGATTACTGCAGGGAAAGACTGACGTCAGTGACACAGTAGGGACACTCTGAAGAGGCTGTTTATAAATCAAAGTTAGAAATTTAAAGTACAAATTAGTAATCTGTAAGTAATTTCCTTGATATTTTTATATCTCACATTTTTATTATTTTCTGTCTACAAAATATTACTTTTGTTGCCAAGAAAATGTATGGTTCTTAAATGCCTTAATACATATGCCTACCTAAACTGGTTTAATATCAGCCAATGATTTTTCAGTTTGAAACGGAATGAAATATTAAAGCCATGTAACACAGTGCAACTCCAATTATCTGAACTCCGATTAACCGAATCGCTTTCAGAAGTTTTGAGAATCAACTGAAGAAGAGAAGGAAAAGGAGAAAAAGGGAAAGGAAACTCAAGAAAAGGAAAGGGAAGAGAAGATTAAGATGACGAGTCACTTGAGGAATTAGAAAACATTCTTTTGAAAATGCCTGGATGTTCAGAAGTTAGTGCTGAGGTTACAGCAGAATGAATGGTGTGTGATTCGTCAGATCCTGGGTTTCAAATTCTAAATGATGAACTTTTTAAAACAGTGAGAGATGAAAATGTCGAGGAAGAAGATGACCTTAAGGGGACTCATACACCTTAAACCTCTGATGATCTTCCAATATGTGACTGTTGCAAGAATTGGAATATTTTATTTATTTTAAAAGCAATTACTTCCAACTTTTCACAGCTGAATACATGATATAGCTGCTTTGGAAAATAGTAACCAGAAAGTTTGTGTTGCCACAAATATTTTTGTAATTTAATCCTCTTTGTGACAAAATATTTCGCCATGTTTCCACCTTGCGCGCATGATATTTTAAAAATGGCTAATGGTACATACTTGAAATTTGATGGAATTCTTTATATCGGCACTGTTTTCTAAATGAACCAACAATCTGATGAGTATTTTAATATTGAAAAATTTTATGGACGAATACATTAAAAATTTTGTTAATAAAATACATTTTATAAACTCAACTCAAAATAAAATAAAAATTTAACATGAAATTTTTAGAATTTTAGGTTCACAATAGTTTCCAAATGTTATAAAAGCTATATATTAAATATGGAATTAAATTATGAAGCAGAATGTTTTAAACTGTGCGAGCAAGGTGGAAACATGACGAAAAATGTTGTCACGAAGCGGATTAAATTATAAAAATATTTGTGGCAACACAAACTTTTCTGATTACTATTTCAGAAAGCAGCTATATTATGTAGTCAGCTGTAAAAGGTTGGTAGTAATTGCTTTTTAAAATAAATAAGTTATCCCAATTCTTGCAACAGTCAACTATTCGAACATCTTATGGGTTTTAAGGTGTATGAGTCCCCTTAATACTATGAAAGTTGAAGCAGAGACTAGACCATCAGCAATTGAAGCAATCTAACTAAGAATTTTCGAAATTTTTAAACAACAAACTTATATATACTTATACCACATCATGAAAGAATAACTGGAAACACACCAAATCTTGTAACAATTAAGATAACAAAAGTATTTTACAAACGGTTTCAATTACAAAAATATACAGTGATAGCATCTACAGAATATCAATAGGATATTGCCGTCCAAATTTATGTTGTACAATCTTGAATACGCTATTGCATCCAACCGGTAAGTGTCAGAATCATGTCCCGTGGTCTCGTACACCATGTATTAATTACGAGAGTGTAGTCATCAACCTGAGATTATTCATTTTCGTTTTCTGGTGTAAGGAAAAATATTCAGTCGACGCACAGTTCCATCATAGGAAGATTTGGAAATTGGGCTGGGAGGGAAACACTTGTAACCCCCTCAAGATATTCAGGGTGAGACGGGAAATGTGTTGTCTTGTTGAAAAATTATGCTTGGGATGCTCTAAAGATAGGGAAGAAGATGGGCTGTGACACAGAAGTCTTTAGCATAATGACATCCCGTTAATAAGCTTGTAATATTCACTAAAGATGAAAGGCTGTTAACACTAATTCACCTCCAACTATTATTCCATGCTGATGGAATAATTCCATGCTGATGGATGGCTGCAACTTAACACGTCCAAACTATTATTCCATGCTGATGGGCAATGAGTCGCTCGGAAATAGTACAGGTATCCGCCTAGGGTGCCATGTCGCCTTCTTATTCTCGTACACTGATCAGAAAAGAGAACGGTGATCACCAGGTAGAGGCAACGTCAGTCGCTAAAGACCACGCTTTCGCATTCAGCTGCATTGCAATACCATTGCAAATATTCACCACGGTGGCTAGCTGTTAACCGGAATTCAGCTGCGGTTAACAGCTAGCTATGGTGGCTAGCTGTTCCCGGTGGCTAGCTCTTCCACGGTGGCTAGCTTTTCCCGTAAAGAACATCTGAACACTAAAGCTTCCTCAGCCTATTGTCGCGAAATTGTCAGCGTGATACTGAAACAGTGGAAACATTCATTCGCTTCGCAAAACAGCTTCAGTTTTTGGAACGTGGCTCAGATACGACATGGCACTGGGATGTGACCAATTAGGGTAATCTGATGTCCATCTCCTTGCTTCGGAGCCCAATGCAGCAATACTGTAACAGCTTTAAATAATATTAAAATCTTGTAGTTTAAATAATTTAAATAGATGAACATTAAGGTATTTGTGAATGGCAATATTTGAAACCAGACTCGAGTTCCTCGTGCGACTCTCGCACGAAGAATGTAATTTATTTTTAAATGTTAGAATATGTTTTCTCTTCTTGTTTGTATGTCGCCATTTTTTTTGAGTGTTAAATAAAAGTTATTGCTGTGTTCCATCATTGGAGTTGCTTCATTTCGCCAAAGAAGCATCACAATACATTTCTTTACTGAGAGCACCGTACATCAACCTGTGTTTACTTCACGATACCATGCAAGAACCTACTAGTAGCACGGAGCTCTAATATGAAGTACATATTGACAATATAAAGTTTCCACCTCACATTCTTCATAAAATTTCTAACATTTTCTAGCTATTAACTTATTCTTTTAATTGCAGTTGTTTCAGAAGAAGACAGATAACGGAGACGTAATCAAAGATTCATAGCAAATGGTTAACGAACTAAAACAGATAATAAAAATATTGAAAATATTCATTATTGTGTGAACAGAATACTTTGAGTACTCAGCTATCGGACAGCGTTAATGACATGCAGTGAATTACAAGATAGAGAGAAAAAAAGCATAACTAAGAAAAAGTAAGATCTTTGCAGCTAAAATTTAGCATAACACAGGCATAGAAACGCGAAAAGAAAGCTAAGGATGGTTAACAAAATTATCTTTATAAAATTATTAATCTTTTATAAAATAAAAATTTATCTTTTGAGGCGGGGTAGCGAGAGAAACGCGCTAGCATTAATAAAATGTCAAATCTGACTCTCGCAGCATCGAAAATAACAATACCTATACTATAACTGACTATTACAAAAATATACATTCAATTAATTATCCATAGCAGCTCTACCTTGACAGCGAAACTATCCGTTAGGCCTTAAAGACTATTAGCCAAAACAAAAGGGGAAACATACATAAGCATAAAAGACAAAAATTTAATTTTTAGAAACCAGTGTACATCAAAAACGATTTCGTGACTGATTTTTCCAATTTAAGAAACGAATAAAATATATTAAGTTTTTAAAGTACGACAGCTTGGGTTACTTGACACATATTTAGAAACAACATAAGAAACTTAAATTTATATACAATCCCCCACAGGAAAAATTGTCAATGGCAGGAAAAAAATTCATATTCGAATTAAAAAATAATGTCCTCACACGACTTATGTTACCAGAGTTAATTAATTTTTTTATGCCAAGAGGACATTAATTTAATATTAAAGCTTTTCAAAGTCACGTTTGTAGAAATGTTAACTTTCGGAAGTTCTTTGTTATATAATTCAGTTTTACACAGCCCATAAATTTAACTTTGTCTTGATTCAAGTCATATAACTTGGATAAATATTCAGGGATGTAAGAAAACTTTAAAAAATATCATTTGAAACCCAATGAACTGCGGTTCCATTCTATCCGAAATGATTCTGTAAAGTGAAATACACTGCTTTTCTTGTTCTGTTGTGTTTTCAAATGTTTTGTGTAAGTAAAGGAGATCCAAACAATATTTCACATAAGAAATCTAACCGCAATCGAAGTAGCAACTTTAGAATCAGAAAAATAAAAAAACACTACAATTTTGACAGTCTTTCCAAGCTGAAGCATTGCACCAAAATGGTAAGATATTGCAATAAGAAAAAAGGCTCTGAAGAGTGTTTAAATATATTTTCAGCCATGTATTCTGCCATTTATTTCTACCATTTTACGATCTACTATAAATCTGGGCGATATAGCCTACGATTAAAAGTATTCCATAAAAATAAGAATAAAGCACGCGCTGTCTTTACTATTACATGGTAATAAACTCGTTGAGTTATTAAAGACTGATGCCGTGCTACATAACCCACGAAAATTCTTGTATCACTTAATTTTATCAAAATTACACGAGTTTTAGATGTCAGAAATGGCATCAGTTCACATATTATTTCAGATAATATGTGAACTTATTATTTCAGATAATGAGATTTCAAATATTGTATGATAATTGCAATATTAACGCAATTCATTCTTCATTAATTTGAAGAACAAAAGAACATTTGAAGAACATTCTCCAAAACTATTTCACCAGGTTACCATGACGTTAGTCATTGAACTCACAAGCAAAATCACACAAATAGAGAAAAATGCAAATACCAAAAATGAATTTTATTTTCACTTGTTTTTAAAAGACAATTTTACAGTTATTTTGCAAACTTACCCTATATATTAATATGATAGGAGTAAGTGTCCTAAATATTATAGGGAACATTTATTTACAACAACGTTTTTATAGGACTAACTCCATAAAAGGAGACTATATTTTTAACAACTTAGCACATGACACATTCGAAACATTCACCTAGGATCATAAGTTTCATATTTTAAGGTATGACAAAATATGAATTAAAATGACAAAATCAGCATTATAATGAAGATCATTATTTATGTAAATTAAAGCACAACGAACATAAACTAAGCAACTAAGCTAATGCGTACGAACATTTATGCATATCACAGACATATCATCAAGTTCAGTTTAAAGGACTTCTTCTCATCATACGAGTTTCACTGAGTTTGAAATGGAAGACCTCCTAAGAGAGGATGTTTTGAAATCCTTACAACTGACACTGTCCTTGTGGAGTCTGGGTTCAGGCATTGCAAACCGAAGTTTTTCCCAGAACCTACGATCTCCCCAGTGGACTAAAGATGCGGACCTCAAACAAATCCGGACATCAGGTTCCAGTTCCTTGAAACTGATCTTGTCCAGGAGGACAACGACAACCCGGTGACGTCGGTTACACTGGCTCTCGTGATGAGCTGCTTTCAATTCATAAATGCACCATTCGCTTTTTAAATATTGTTCAGATATAACAGCGACAGTACACCGACTGCACTCGATGGCCTCCGAGATTGCTTCGGCAACATATTCTGCCATCGGAAGATCTCGGTAGCGAAGACAGAGCCTATGTGGGTAAGTGCCATCTTCCAACTCTGGTGCTAACATCTGTGAGACAAAAGCTTCATCTTTCTTGCAATATGATAAGAAAGCATCAAACAGTTTTTCACTTTCACCAGCTTGGTTGTTTCGCTGAAACAAACGAATGCCATACCGACTATAAAACCAAATTTTCATCTCACTGTTATACACGCAGAACAGAACTAAACTGAAAATTAGCAATATGAATATCGATGGCGCTATAATCATAATAGGCATATAGTCACCTGCAAATTCGGCTTTGTAATATGTCAAGGCGCTATGATTAGAGCATGCTGAAGAATTAAATTCTAGAACAAAAAGTCCTGCTGACTGGTTCTTATAACACCGAACGTTTTCTCGATCCAAAACTAAGGTTCCAGAAGCCACTAACCACTCTTGGAAATTTCCAAGATACTGACATGAACATGACCAGCTATTATGACTCAACTTTACTTCCGCTAAACGGTGGTTAGTATTCAAATTCCAAACTTGAAAATCCACTAAATTGTTATGATCAAGGTGTAAAACTCTCAAGAATTTCAGATGAGAAAAACTAGAATTTTTTATGTTTGTTAAACGGTTATAGGATAGGTATAATTCCTGCAGATTTGTCAAATTCGTAAACTCATGGCCTTGAATAGTAGATATATAATTATGTTCCAGGTGTAGTATAATTAAATTCTGCAATCCATTAAATGTCCTATTTCGGATGACATGAATATTGCTGCCGTTTAAATGAAGTATTCTCATATTTTTTCTTCCAATAAAAGAGTGACTTCCCACTTGGCTCATATCATTTCCATCTAAATATAAATCCGTAACGTCCATCGGTATCCTAGCAGGTATACGAGAATAACGTCTAGAGCTGCAATCAACAATATTAGTATTCCATGTTTGATCTGAATAACAAGTGCAGTTTTCGGGGCACACCATTTCGCAATCGCAAGCATCAAATTCACAGCAATGGCAGAGGGCAAAACAGTGACTTCTGTATTTGCACAAAAACTCATTAGACTTTGTCCGCGTTATTGAAACCAGATCCTGCTGTCTAGGAAAGGTCATGTGACATAACACTTGATCTAAATCGACTATTTGGGGATACTGTCTCATATCGTCTAAGTTATTTATTCTCTGCAGCCATTCCATTGTACAGTCACAATGGATTGGATTGTTAGAAAGAAAAACAATAGGTAGATTTCTGGTAATCGGCACACTCTTCAAGCGCAAAGCATTTATATCTAAATTTTGAATATCATTATTCCGTAAATCAACCATGGAAAGATTTGTTTTACTCATAAAAGTAAAAGGCATTATGATGCTCAAAGAATTATTTCTCAAAGAAACTACCTCCAAGCCATGAGGAAAGGTTTCAGCAGTTATTTCTTTTATTTTATTGAAAGACGCGTCCATGTATCGCAGCTTCAAAACCTTTTCAAGTTCAAAGTAGTTCCCCAAACCATCAATTTCATTAGAATGCATATCTAGGTTTATTAAACCAACAGGTACTAATGCAAAATCAAACCACGTTATATCATTTCTTGAAATATTCAGTGCTTTCAAATTTCGTAAATTCATAAATAAACCATTGATGTCTGACAGCAGATTATCATTCAGCTCAATTCTTTCAAGGTCTAGGGCATCATCAAATATTCCAATTTCTAACCCCTGTATTCTGTTTCTTGACAAATCTAAAATTTTAAGCATATACTGATCACGCAGTGTTCCTCGACTCAAATTTCCAATTAAGTTGTTTTTCAAATCTAAAACCATAAGACTTTTCAAGTTCTCAAAAGTATCATTAGTTATATTCGATATACAATTGAATGACAAATCCAAATCTTGCAAATATTCCATTTTATTAATTGCCACTGGAAATGATGTCAAGCTATTGTTCGTTAAACTTAAATAACGAAGGCGAGTTAAATTCATAAATGCATCCGAGTGTATTAATTCCATGTGATTATTGGCAAGTAAAAGTTCTTGGAGATTTGCAAGGCCATTGAAAGTATCAGCCTCGATTAATCTAAGTTTATTGTTCGTTAAATCTAAAACTTTCAGACTAGACAAATGCGAGAATGCTTTTTCGGCGATATATTCTACGATGTTGTCTCTCAAGTACAAAACTTGCAAACTTGATAAAGATTGAAAAGGTGTCCCTTCTATCCTTCTTATTCTGTTGAAACTCAAGTTCAGAATGCTCAATCTGTTAGGATTCTTGAAGGAATCCAGCAAAAAGTGCAATTCTGATATAACATTATGTGCCACATCTAAATGGATTAGTTGAGACAATGATCTAAAAAGAGCAGATGGAAAACCGGCAATGGAATTATTTCGCAGCAATATTTCTCTCAGTTCCGTAGAATGATGAAAAAAGTGTGGATGGAATTCACTCAATTTGTTGTTGGACAGATCAATAAACTGCAGCCTCTGCAGGCCAATCAAAGCGTAGGGTGACATTTGGGAGATATGATTGTCACTGAAAGTCAAATTCTTTAGCCTTCTCAGCGACGACAGTATTTCATCGGTTAAATATTTCAGTCTGTTGTATGATAAATCTAGCATATGGAGTTCTGGAATACAAGGAAACAGTTTGCGTTCTTCTAATCCCAATTGCTTCACGTCTTGCAGACTGTTCTTACTGAGGTTTAGAATTTTTAGATTGATAAGGCCACAGAACGGGTATTCGGGAAGCATGACGATATTGTTACCGGAAAGATCGAGATATTCCAGCTCTCGAACTTTCATAAAAGTTGATGGTCCAATAGTGAGAGTGGATCGACCTTCATCGTACTTATCAGTGTGCACAGTGAGATTCTTTAATACGCTTAGTCCATTCAGCGCGTCGTCTGCTAATTCGGTAAAAGAACAACGCTCGAACCTCAGCGACTGCAACTGGTTGAGGTGCGCTAAGGAACTGTTAGTAAGGCGTCCTTCCATATAGCGGTCATCACAGATAATGGTCAGTCCCACTGTACGCGCAGACTGAATTGGGCTAAAATACGCACTATCCATAATTGTATTCACTCCACTCACGTGACATATTAGTAGAACACCAGGCTCCACCTGGTGGGCTTTCACTGTCGTCCACTGGCAATCTCTCGGTGTCACATAATTCATAGCACATGTGCATCTATAATACCAGACTGATGTTAGGAAGAGAACTGTGACTATGATTTTAAGTTGGTCCTCCATTGCTCAATGTGATATGTTGGATCTTGACTAAAAACCACTATTTTTCATAAATACCACTCTAGTTCCATCTAAAATATCACTGTTACAAAGTCTTAACAATTCCTTAAACTATATAGGCATGCAAAGAGAAAATAAATACTTCTCTTAGAATCTGATACAAACCTAACTACTTTTAGTTATATTCTATTATACCTTCGACTATTCTTATCACAATACGATTTCTCAACAGTAAATATTTCAAAATCTTTCCGGACGTAAAAAGATTACACGACAGTCTAGAGCTAATACAGTTTTGCTTATTTTCTTTCAAACTTTTATGTTTTCTTCATACAGAAAAATAAATGACACTGTTTTTGTCAAATGCATTAAAATTTCATTTGTCTCAAACTTTCGGAATTTTCCAAAGAAGACTGAATAAGAAATAAGCAGAGATCTCTTCAGTTTACAGAACTTAGAAACAAATTGCTACACGTGATAGCTTTCAGGATTAAAACTAGAGATTTCAAGCAGAAAATGTCCCAAACTTTCATAAGAAACGCGATAACCGCGAGAAAACAACTTCTCAGACGAAGATTATTTTCTTTTAGTTTTGCTTTTGGACACAATCTTCTACTGCGAAGCTAATCCCCAAGTTGAAGTATCCTCTCAGAAAAGCTCGAAAGAGACAAATAATGCGTTCGAACCAGATTGGGCAAGATGGGGATTTAACCGGTCGGCTCCTGTTCCCTCGAGTATGCGAACATGGATTCTTCCACGGACATTTGTCAATTGGACTAAATGGCTGTCACATTCCTTTGAAGCACAAGACCATTTCTGGCTCATTTGCAGCTCAGGTGATTCGGAAGATGCTTTTCCGTGTTACATAAGCTTCCCATTAATTTCGGTAAGAGCGATGCTGTAAATCAATTGAGCGAAATCTCCAATCTAGAGATCTTAAAGACGGTTCCTCTGGCTGCTGAAGTATGAAGTAAACTGTAATAGATACAGATGGGCTTTTGGCAGAACTCTAGAGTGAAATCCTCGAATGTGAAGGGGCAAGATAAACCTGTAAATAAACGAACAAAATAATTAATATGATTATACTCATTTTTATGACAAAATACATACTAAGTAAAACAATATGATTTAAATAATAATAATGTGACAGAATTTTACTAGGCTACTCTAATAAGTATGCTACTCTTCAAAGAAGCAAATTAAAACTTTTATGCTGTTTATCGCGACCACAATACATAATGTGGTCGTAACTCAGGACATTCTCACAAGTTGTGGCTCATGACAAAACTTAAGCTCTAGATTATCAAGTTGCTACCATCATTTTGAATAAATATCTAGGTTACTAATATCATTTTGAATAAATCTTCTAGTTTTCAGTAGATATAAATACATGAATTAAATTGGAGACTCAACTACAAAAATGGATCTAATTGATTGCTATGATTCGATTCAAGAAAATTAATATTTCTTGTGTTTAATCAATATTCCACTAAAGATCCCAGCTATCAATTTCACTACATGTATTCCATTCAAATTTTGATGTCAATGGCAACGTGTCGAAAACATTTTATCTCTGCATCTAGCATATCAGAGACGGTGTCCGCCGATAACATCGCGGCAAAAACATCGCGAACGAAAACGTCGCGGAGAAAACAACGCAAGGCGAAAACGTCGTGCTACAAAACATCGTGGGAGAACACATCGCAAAGAGAAAACATCGCAGTTCTAAAACATCGTGGTACAAAACATCGTCGTCGAAAATAAAGCGGTTCAAAAACTTCGCAGTTTAAAAACATCGTCGTCGAAAATATCGTGGTAAAAAGTAAAGAATCTACAAATCATCGCATGACGATAACATCGCAGACATGCTCTTTTCACGCTTTAATAACTGTAAATGGATATTCCCATAATGATTTGTGAGCGCAAGATGTAAAGAAGGATAATTTTTACTTTCATATTTTTTATTAAATATTAAATTTTTGCTGAGAAAATAAGAAGAAAACTTAAGCATAGAAAATTAATGCAACTTATAGCACTTAATAGAATTTTAAATCGACATAGTTAACTAAGAAAGACCATTAATAAATAATTTTTATAAAGATTTTACAGGTAATTTTTCATAAAAAGTATAATCTATTAAGTTGCATTTAATTTTATATGCTTAAGTTTCCTTCTTAATTTTTCAGCAAAAAATTTATTAGTTAATAAAAAAATGTGAAAGTAAAAATTATCCTTCCTTACATCACTTGCGCTCACAAATCATTATGGGAATATCCATTTACAGTTATTAAAGCCTGAAAGAAATATGAAGAATAAGCATGTCTGCGATGTTATCGTCATGCGATGATTTGTAGATACTTTATTTTTTACCACGATATTTTCGACGGCGATGTTTTTAAACTGCGAAGTTTTTGAACCGCTTTATTTTCGACGACGATGTTTTGTACCACGATGTTTTAGAACTGCGATGTTTTCTCTTTGCGATGTTTTCTCCCACGATGTTTTGTAGCACGACGTTTTCGCCTTGCGTTGTTTTCTCCGCGACGTTTTCGTCCGCGATGTTTTTGCCGCGATGTTTTCGGCTGTAACCTCAGAGACAAATTTGGGCAGTGGCTTAGCACAACAAATTATTAAATTTCTGTGTAAGAATGTATACATAATCCTCAGAATTTCATATAATTTGAAGTGATATCAGGCAAAATTCAATCTTATATTAACGTTGATTTCCACAAATTAGTGGTTCTTGACTTCCTTGTTCCTTCTTCTTGGGAATCCCTGTTATATAATATTTATTTTGCCAAACCCTAACCATTAATCTGACCATTCAATTAATTTTCCTACATTTAACCATTAATTTTGCTATATTTATTTTTTAAAATAATAAATAATTTTGCTACATTTATTTTTCATAAAAAAATTAAATAACATTCAACTGTCGTTTAAAACATCACACAGGGATTCCTATGTTTTAGTTCTCGGATTCCAGATGCCTGAGAAACGGAGTTTAAAATTGCTGCTGTTAAATGCAAATGAGCAGTAGTGTAGTATTTAAGTCAAGTTTAACTGGCTTCGCCAGAGAGGGTTAGGATTCCTGAATAGCGCGCGTTTGCCTATGGGCTACGTCTCTATAAGCTGTTACTACACTCGATCGTATTACGTGCCTTTTGATAGTTCGCTGGCTAATTTAATACTACGGGCCAACTAGTTTAGAACTGTGTTAGCTTCGGCTAAATCTCTTTAGTTAGTTCTTATTTCTTACATTCTGAATTTAAGCTCAAGTGTAGGCTTTGCTGTACGCCCTGAGAAAGGGGCCGACTTTTAATCTTTATTTGCAGTAAATAAAGGGTAATAACCCTTCTTAAGTTTCTATTCTTGGACGTAAGCGATTATTCGCTTAGCAGTTCACTAGCTTCCTGAACATTACATTTAACAAGATAAAAGTGAGGAACTCTATAACATATAGAGTAAATGTTTGAATATCTGTCCTAATTAACGTATACGCGTTCTCAAGGAAGCTTAGATTATTCGATAATAGTCCAATAAAGTTACAATTAATGCGTAAAATTGACAATCTAGATAAGATCTCCATTCAGTGGATGTCTGCTTATGTTGGCATTCCCGAAAAAGACGGGCTTCCAAAGAAGCAAAAGATTCAAACGATGATAATAACAACCAAATTACTCTTGATGATGCAAATGCATCGACTTAAAGGAAATAACATCAAAATTAACTACCAGATTTGTGAAATTAATGCTAATTGAGGCATCACAAAAAACAGAACTCGACTCAGAGCTCAGCACTTTCAAGGCATGAAAAAGATGGCACAAGATCCTACCGTCTCCGGAATAACTGTGACAAAGTAGCACTAAGACTTGACCATATTTTTCAATGTCCTATTCATTACCTTTTTGCCAAGTTCTCTTGATTTTTAATATTTTCCTCTCTTTGAGGTTAAGGTTACTAGTATTCTGTTATGGTAAAGCCTAAGAAAGCTAAATGAGCTATATTCCATCCCAGTGTTTTTCACGTACACTGATAAATGGAATCTTTCCCTACTAGGCAGCCTTTTGAAAATACACTGATAAATGGAACATATTTTAAGTGTCCGTATGGCGAAATAGCGAAAAAACACTATACTCACAAACCTGTACACCTATTCAGGGGGCTCAACAGAGGCCAAGCAGTAAATGACATTGTTTGTTCCACTCAAATCCCAATGAAGCGCTTCGTGAATTTCCCCTTGCGTAACGTGAATCCAAGCTAGTTTTTCTTAGAAAGTTTATAAAGTTTTTCTCCCGCCATCTTAGGAGGCCTTCGTGGTCGTCTTCATCTTAGCAGATGGCCAGCAAACTCGTATTCGAGAGATCCGTGGTTCGAGTCCCGGTGAGGACATTGCTCATTTTTCACTTTTCCTGCTTCAAAAAATTTTAATGACTCTGTATTGCCGCCCGAACTAAAAAAAAAAAAAAAAAGGTGGTAGATGATGATTCTTCACCACCAGGATTTGATGATTGGGTCCCCTAATCCCCAGTCGTCCTTTAAAAGGGGGAGTATATAAGGTATTTCTCCCGCCTTCGTCGTGTAAAGTCCAGCGCACTCGGCGCGTTTCCGAAAGATCCTTGGGTTCGAGTCTCAGCGAGGGCATTGTTCATGTCTGCTGGTTTAAAAAAATACCTAATGTCTCTCTCCAGAATGGCAACAATATTTTAGGCAGATAGCCTTCGCGTGTTTTACCGTTATGAAAGCAAACCAAAATCCTGACCGAATGAATCTATTGATATGGTAGATATCCTTCACTAAGACATATAACTTCCCAGGTGGTCTATTTTCCTAAAGACTTGATTGCTAAACTTATGGCTAATTTTGTATAATACGACATATGTGTGCATATATGTCATTGGCCCATCGAAAGAAGTATGAATATTCTTTTTTGGTTGATTTTAGGCATTTTACGCTAACAGAGATGCATGTTTGTTGGGATATATATATCAGAAATACGATGTAAAATTTAATGGCCAAATAAGCGTACGAGACACTACAACTTTATCATACGATGGTACAAGTTTTTGCCGCAATGCTATTGTTCAAGTGAAATCGAAGCCCATGTCGAACCGTGTCTTCGAAATAAATTTCTTTCAGATTCGTAATTCTGGTGTTGTGACACCGATGTTACATATCTCTAAACACCTTTTATTTACAATCATCTCTCTTCTTCTCGGCTTACTCTTTGTTTGCTTGGTGTGTCTATAAACTATTTATCTCATTAAAAGTTTTACCAACTTGCAGAGTCATTAGGATTATTTTGAAGCAGGAAACATGAAAAATGAGCAACGCCCTTGCCGGGACTCGAACGTAGAACTTTCGAATACGTGCCGAGTGTGCTAACAGTTATACCACGAATACATACAGAAAGAAGGGAGAAAATATCTTTGAATCAGGAGACGTGAAAAATGAGCAATGACTTCGCCGGGACTCGAATCTGGACCTTTCGAATACGCGCCTAGTGAACTACCCGTTACACCAGGAAGACATGCAGAAAGAAAGGAGAAAATTAACGACATAAATACTGCCTATGCAATGCAATTCGAATAACGAAATTTCTGTGATTGGTACAATTATGTACTGATCTATATAATACTGATAATTTTAGCTACAACATACCCAGTAAGAAATTTATGCAATGCAAGTCAATAAACCCTAATACAGAAATATTTCCATTATTTTTGCTGATAATACTTTTGCTTATTTAATCAATTGGTAACAAAAACTGTCAAATTTCGTTTTAAATAGACCAACGGATAAATTATATAAGCCAGATTAATTGTCAAGTTTTTATTTCGAATATAATATAATCGGTTTGCACCGCTGAAGAGTTATTTGCTTGAAATCCCGTTTTCAGAAAAAAATAAAAAAAAAAAATCAACCGTATAAAAGTGGAAATCTCGTTCCCGAATCTGCTGCCGTAATTAAAGTCACTCTCATTATAGAGAAACTATTTGTTCGTGGTTAAAATTCCACGAAAGCTTTTGTGACTTTTTGGAAG